AGAATTCATCCAGATTGCTTTCCACCTGCTGGCAGTCTGCTGTGACCCAAGAGATCCTCCTGCAGTCTGCTCCAGGATGTTGGCAGTGTAGCCACCCAGGAGTGTTCTACCAACCCTAGGTTCAACTTCTTTCAGAAAATAATCCTTTATTCTTAGAATTACATACAGATAATATAGAGAAATCCTGGATATCATTTAGTTTCCTATCGTTAACAACCCACTTACAGGGGAGTGGGGAGATGGCTCAGTGGAATAAGCGCTTCCCTGGCAAGCTCCAGGGCCTGAGTTCAATCCCCGGTACCGAAAAAAAAAAAAAAACCAAGGCAATGTGTGCTCTGACACACTCGCGGCATTTAAAAAAAAAAAAAGAAGGGGAGTGGGGAGATGGCTCAGTAGAATAAGCACTTGCCTGGCAAGCACAAGGGCCTGAGTTCAATCCCTGGTACCGCAAAAAAAAAAAGGAGAAGCTTATCCATCTAAACCAACTGAATTGTCAGAATTCAGATAAAGGAGCACAGAAAATAGTCTAAAGTTATTAAAGTATACAGATAATACAATACTACCTAAAAGGAGATTTCCCCCCCTTTTTATAAAAAGCATAAAAAATTAAAGGAGGCAGCAAGAATTCAAAGTCTAAATGGAAGGCACTCAATGCGCACCCAAGCCCTGGAGTACTTCCTAAGGAAGGACCCGAGACCCGCACACACGGCCTCCCCAGCCCACGCAGCCCCGGGCGGCAGCTCCGGCCCGCAGTACCTGCAAGCACGACCTCTGCGGAGACGCGGTCGATGGTGAGCACGTCATCCGCTCCGTCATCGCAAGCTTCCACATAAAACTTCTCAGGTGTGATGTGTCTAAGAGGAGCCAGAAAGGTATAAACAGACTGAGTGAAATGAAGACCTTTCACAAAGCATGTACTGTAACAGCAGCAGCAGGGATTAATCGCTGATGGACAGGCTGGTTAAGCTCCCTGTCCACACCATACCCTGCAACTCGCATTTGCATTATGTAATGGGCATGCATTCTTCAAGTCCCCATAAAACCATTAATTTATAGAAGAAAACTGCAGCCATGCGGCGTGGCACCAACAGTCTGTAGGCTGTGACCTTACACAAGGCTCCTCTGTTCCTTCCTTGTCTCTTAAGGGTAACAGACCCAGACACAGTACTGATGGTTTTTCTGAGAAAGCCAGATGCTCCTAAAAAAGATGCATTGTGTAAAAAATAGACCACAATACAATCAAACAAAGGAAGTAAGAACAGGGTTGGGACTGACCACCCGGCCGTGTGCAGCTCTGTACCCAGCATCTAAGGCAAACAGAAGCTAGCTCCTGTGCGGGCCATCTGAAGAGCCCAGGTAAGAACTGCGTGTGGTCGGGGGCTGCCTCGGTCCCTAGCTTAAAAATGGCCTGAAGCAATGTGAAAATGTGGATGTGCTAAACAAGGCAAAACCATGACACTGGAGGGGCGACACCTGCGCAGGCAGGCGCTGATCAAGGCCAGGCCACAGGCAGCACTCAGAAGCGTGCGCCCAGAGCTCATCTGCACTGCTAACAGACCAGAGCCGGAAGAATTTTGGTCTGTGCCAGAAGTCTTTCTTTTAATTCTACTGCCATGATTCCGGCTCACCTAGCCTATAAAAAAATCTACAAACCCACACAACCACCACTGACGACACTTCTTATTTGTCACACTATCCTACTTCTGACTGTAAGTTCTCCTAGGACTCATCAACCTTTGATATAATAATACACTCTTATGGTTCATCAGTAACGAACTTGCTACTATTAACTAGTTCCCTCCATTTTAAGGGACATACAAGGCGCAAATGCCAACATCAAGTAAACTACTGTTTAACAAAGAAAGCACATCTGATTCAAGTATGAAAATCTTCAATTCAAACTAAATAAAGGCTCACTTCTCTTTATTACTAAATACATTCAGTCTGCACACTCACTAGCTGACCACAGACGTGCTTTCTTCTGGCTTGGGGTTATTAGGAATAAGGCATTTCCTAAGATAGACGCACACTCGCTGGGGGGCTGCTCAGCCAACAGTACCAGTACTTTACGCTTCACCTGTGCAGGGAGGCGGGCAGAGGCGGGGTCGTGGGCACAAGGAAACTTTAGGGCTGACAGACAGGACCTCTCCTTAACATGGGACCTCTCCTTAACATTGGCAATGGTTTCGTGGGCGTTAGAAATGTGTCGGAATCTATCGAATGCACATTTTAAATATGCCAGGTTCACTGTGTGTCAGTTAAACATCATTAAAGCTGTAAAAAGAAAACAAAGTGAGGGCCAGGGAGATAGCTCTGGCATAAGCACCTGCCTGGCAATCGCAAGGTCCTGAGTTTGATCCCTGGTGCAAAAAAAAAAGAGAGACAGAGACAGAGACAGAGACAGAGACAGAGACAGAGACAGAGACAGAGACAGAGAGAGAGAGAGAGAACAAAGTGAGAACCAAGTGAGCAGAACTTCCAGGCTATGCCTCACTCCTGGACAGTGGCCCTGAGCGGAGGCCAGCTTTCACGGCTGCTGCCCACACATGTGAGCCACGCAGTGCAGCGCGGGCTGTGCTCCAGGGGACTTTCACGGCTGCTGCCCACACATGTGAGCCACGCGGTGCAGCGCGGGCTGCGCTCCAGGTGGAACACTCACCCGCTAACACCTGCTGAAGAGCTCGCAAGCGCCCCAAGACGCCAGAGGCGGGAGGGAACATGAAGGACAGTGTGGAATAGCCAAACAATGTCATAAGTAAAAAGCAGGCCTCATAAGATGTGGTGTCGCACACCTGTCATCCTCAGGAGGCTGAGGCCGGAGGCCTGCCTCAAGTTCAAAGCCGGCCTGAACAATAATAGCTAGACCCTCTCTGAAGATAAAAAAAAAAAAAAAACAGTGCTTGCCTAGCAAGTGTGACTTTCTGAGTTCAATTCCTAGTATTCAAAAACAAAGAAAAATGACAAAACCATTAATGTCTTTCTAAATTTATTTGTAAATGCAGGAGTCCATAAATGAAAGTGCTGTTAGTACCAAAGGTAAAATAGCACAGAACCATCTCTGAAAAGACAGTTTATAAAGCAGGTTACACTCTTCTGCTTTTTTGGTGGTCTTTTAATCTGCACAGCTGAAAGTTTGAACAATTAAATTGTGGGCACAGGCACTGGAAAATTAAAGAGCTTTACTGTGGACCCAATATGGTATAAAAGTGCCCGTGGGAGGCAGAGCTCTAAGCCTTTCCATTCCTAAGGGAGACACAGCCCTGCAGTGATCCCGACAGAGGCCATTCTGGAAGGTCAGCCAGGCGCAAGGCCAGCACAGCAACAGCAAGCAGGACACGGAGCCCAGCAGGCAGAGCGAGGGCCCGCCAGGGCAGAAGGGCGAGCGCTGGGCTCCACCGGAGGCGCTCCTTCCTGACCACTCCTGAGAGGCAGGGACCTGGAGGGCAGGAGGGGGGCCCCGAAGCCAGCAAGCTGAGTGACCGGAAGTGGGGCCGGCCAGCCACCCAAATGCAGGTGTGTGGGCTCTGTGCAGGGTGGACTGCCCGCGCATCCAGGGAGGATCTCACGGGCGTGGGGTCGGTACCCTGCTGCTCCGGCCTCTCAGCTCGGGGCCAGTCGGTGAGGCAGCAAGAGAAAACTAGCGCAGCAGGCAAATCCCCTGCAGAATGAAGCACCGCTCACCTAAAGCGATGCCTGTGGTGCACGCACTACAAGGAATATGACACCTCTAACTGAAAACACATACTTAACGGTCAGGTTTTTAGGGGATTAAACTTTTCAAACTTTTTTTTTTGAGACAGGGTCTTGTTATGCAGTGAATTCAAGCTAGCCTTGAGATCACAGAGATCCTCCTGCCTCAGCCTCCTAGAAACTGAGATTATAGGAGTGAGCCACGACTGGCTCAAATATCATTTTTATTTTATTTTTTTTTCCAAAGTTTTATTGACAAACAGATAGCAATGAGACAGTTTCAAATCATATCAGAAGGACAGTTTCAACAAATAATACACTGCATATATTCTTCTTAGTGATTAATTGCTGTATCAAATATCATTTTTAAATGAAAAACTTAATTTAACTTTTGTTAAGCAAAGGCTCTTTTGTATGGGGCTGAGGAGATGGCTCAGTAGAATAGCGCTTACCTGGCAAGCACAAGAGCCTGAGTTCAATCCCCAGTTCCACCAAAAAAAAAAAAAAAAAAAAGGTTCTTTTGTAGAAAGAAAAAGGCTTTGTTCTAAAAAGGAAAGTATCAAACCATGTTTTAAAAAACCTCACACTGGGCTGGGGAAGAGAGCTTGGTGGTCTAAGTGCCTGCCTGGCAAGCTTGAGGAGCCGGATTGCGCTACATCATGGGGACAGAAGCCCAGGTTTCAGAATCCTCTGAGCCCATCTGCATCCCAACAATACTCACCACCACCAAGGCCCTGGACAGAGCACTGAGCTTCTGCCCCAGCTTTCTTGCCGAGAGAGGTGAGGGTATGTGAGAGGACAGACAGGCGCGGCCGGCACCCAGGGTCTGAACAAGGGCACTGGCTGTTCTCCTGACAAAGCCTCATCCATGTCCCCTCCAGCAAGTCCAGTGTCATACCTCGGACAGTCCACAGAGCTCAGAGAAGGCGCAGGGGGGCTACATGGCGAGGCCGTCGTCAATCTCAGAGCTCCACCATGGGGGCAGAGCAATCACAAGGTATTTCTCCAGGTAAATGGCCTAGGGCTTCTTCCATAACCAATATTATTAGCAACATAAAAAGATGACCACTCAGACTGAGCATGGGGCGCTCCTGTAATCCCAGAGTTTAGGAGGCTGTAATCCCAGCACTCCTGTAATCCCAGAGAATAGGAAGGATCGCTACAAGTCTGATCCGTGTAGTGAGACCCTGTGCTAGATACATTAAATAAATAAAGATGACCACTCAACATCCAATTCCAGGAATCAAATTCCTCCACTTTTTTATGGAATGCACAAAAACATAGTTTATGGTGGGCCCAACAGAGGATATGTATAATCCCAGGACTCTGGGAGGCTGAGGCAGAAGGATCACAAGTTCAAGCCCAGCCTGGGCAACTTTATGATTTAGCAAGTGTTATGGTTTGTGTCTAGTTGTCCCCCCAAAACGTCATGCATGCAATTGGGGCTGCTTCTAGAGTTTGTGCTTAATTTAAAATCCAATGCTGGGATTATGGGTATAAGTGCCACACCTGCCCTGGGTGGGTAATCTGCATATAAATGTAAGGAGAAGAGCAAGGCGGCTAGCTGCCTCAGCCACTGCCCCTCCCTTTGCTCTTTGCTGTTTTCCTTCGCCATGAGCTGCGGCCCTCTGCCAGGTGCTGCTCTGGCTTGGAGCCAGCCAAGGATGGCCTGAAACCTCCACTTCTGTGAGCTATATAAACTTTCCTTCCTTAATTTTGGGTGTTGGGTATTTCTGTCCCAGAAACAAGAGAAAAGTAACTGAGACAGCAAGTCTGTCTCAAAAAAAGAATCTAAGAATTGGGCATTTAGCTGAGCGTGAAAGCCCTGGGTTTCATCTGTAAAAATCAAAACAAAACAAAAAAAGAGAAAGCCTGCACCTAAGTAAAGAAACGCACACCGCTTGCCCTCAACAGCAGCCTCTCTTCACACTCTGACCGCCTCTACAGAAGCGCATCTGAACTTCTAAAGCGACCCTAAATCATCCAAGTAACACCAACGAAAAGTCGCTTATTGCCAGTTTTGACATGGAACTGAGGTACATTTCCATGAGCAATAAGGTATCTGTTTTAAGATCAAACAATTTAAAGAATAGAAAAGACATACCTATGCATACATGTGCACATGGAGGGAAAAAAAATCTCTACTATAAACAATTACAAAGTT